TTTTTCGACAAAAGGATATAAAAAATTTTAAAAATCATTTTCGTGTTGCTTCTGATGATAAAAAAACGGATCAATAGTAATATAAATAAAAAAAAAAAATTTCAATGATTAATCAAGCTGATGATGAATGGGCGTTGTTTGTTTTTGTTGCTTATGTACTTTGAAAAATTGGAATTGGAATATACCACCGGAATATATCGATACGTTAATATGAATATAGTTTTGTTATAAATTTTATTATTTTAATCAAGTTTAAAGGCAACTTTTTATCTGTTCATCAACGTAGGTAAAAATAAATTGTACGATCATAAACCTGGAGTCGGTGACGGGTTACTGATTGTTATTGGAATAGATCATATGTAAAATCCCTTTTATTTAGAAAAAATACCGCCAATATTTACAATACTTTCCCTTATATCGGAAAACTTAGGCTTTCGATACATATATGGTGCCACAAAGACAATCAGTATTTCAAATTGTACTAAATTGTCCCTGATTTGACTTAAAATGTACTTTTGTACTTTACCGTGAGAAATGTACTAAATTTAGTACAATTGTACTGAAACGGTAGTCCTGCTCTTATTGACGGTTACACACATTATACTGTTACGTATTTAATGAACTAGAAATCAGAGGTTTTTAAAATGTTTAAAGCATGTATTAAAGAGTCAAGTAATGGTAGTCAATTTATACTGTGATAATGGTAAGGAATATCTTTCAACTGAATTTAAAGATTTTTCTGTTGAAAAGGGAATTATGTATCATCTCACTGTCCCATATACATAACAGAAAAATGGTGTTTCGCAGAGAATAAATCGGGCATTATCTGAAATGGCACATATTTTAGTTGCAAGTGCGATTTTAGATAAACTTTTGGGGTGAAGCTATATTAATTTTAACGTATTATTTATTAAATTTAACACCTACAAAAGCTCTTCCGATAGACAAAACACCATATATAATGTGGGACAATAAAAAAATTAAAAACAAATAATCTGAGAATATTTGGTTCATAAGTTTATGTTCATGAAAAGACCAGAAAAATTAAATTTTAGTAAAAATCATTTAAAGCAATGCTGGTCGGTTATGAACCAAATGGGTACAAATTGTGGAATGTAGGAAATATATCATAGATAAAATCACTTACAAAACTTCTAGGCCCTCAGATGTTTTTATAAATATTGAAATTCTTGTAAAAATTGCTAAACCTACTATTAACACAGAAACTTTAGAAAATAATAATGAAATTATAAATATACCACAGAATGTTAGAAGAAGTGAAAGAATAAAACATCTCCCTCCAAAAATTTGTGGAAAATATAACGACATATATAATTAGTTATCAATTGAATGTACAGTACATGTTTAAAAAATTTACCAAAATCTTATCATAAAATTTATAAAAATAATAATAATAATATTCTCCCTAATTCACCCCCTTACGAGTGAATTTTAACCCCAAAAGCTGAGCTTGTCCGAGGAAAGGGACGGCTATTATTATTTGCCGTGGCTCTCCGGGGCGACTTAATGGTGCCATTTGACTTACAGAAACCCACCATCATTATATAAAAGCAATGATAAACACAAATGAGAGGAAGCCATAAGAAATGAAATTTATTCACTTGAAACTAACAAAACGTGGATACTTATAAATAAACCCGAAGTTAAAAACATTATTAGTTGCAAATGGATTTTCACAATTAAAAATAATGAAGAGGGTAAATCAACCAGATATAAAGCATAGTTAGTTGCAAGGGGTTTCAGTCAGCAGTAT